GCTTACTAACAAACTAAACATTTTGGCATAATTGTCTTTTGCTTTAAAATGTTGTATTTGATGTTGTAGCGGCTTTTGTACTCGTCTAGGCTTCCTGCTGGGTGTATTTTTGTGTTGAATGCTTACTCTATTCTTACTGTTCTTCTTCTCTTGCCTCTCATGCCATCTGCCTTTCGGGGACAGAGAAGAGGACTGACAAAAGTGCTGTTTCCGGTGCAATTCGTCTCCACATCTCCGTGGAGATCAAGGGCGAAGAGAAAGTGGCCCCGTACCATGTTCAGTACACCTGCCTGCATGAGGTAAGTCAGTTGGGAGCAGTGAAGCTGCTCTTGCATTCAAGCGCGCACTCGATAACTCATCTGCCTCAGACCGTCTTTCAGATGGCCTTTTTGAGACTCAGGCATTCAATACACTTTCGCGGATACCAGTATGCATGAGTTTTACATGCTTCTATAGCCTCTGGTAGCAGTTCCTCCCTTTTAAAGGATCCATCTCATCCCAACTGGCCCACTGTATCCATCCCACCTCGGTCTTACCAGCACTCTCAGCGGAACTCGTGGAGTGAGTGTGCTGGTTCCACTCACCTTTCGCGTGAACTTTGAACTCTCCCGCCTACCAGGCGACTTGACCTCCTGGCTCGAGTCCCTTTCATAAATGCGGATGAGACAGCAATAATGAGGCTACATACAAACAATCACTGATATCAGTGGGTCACTGGACAGATGTGACTCTAAGGGCATGCCAGACCTTTGCCAAATAACATTTTTATAATGGGATACTCGCTCACACCTATTTTTACAAATTCTTGTTTACCAACTTGGTCATCCTCGGTCTCTTACAGTTCTTTAAGGATAGTTTCGAAGCGTTATCACATCTGTTGCAAGTAATCTTGTCGATTGTATTGGCAAATACATTTTTTCTGACCCCACTTCCATTTCGAGTGAAAGTGTTTGGTGAAGAGATTCAAAGGTCGATCCTACCAGAAGACGACGGCAGATTCTTCTCGACTAACTGTCGATTGGCTTTACTGAAATATTCTTCTTGACATTGTTTCCAAAGTAATCCCCTTCGATTCCGGTAAAAACGTGCCAAGTTTTCTTCTGTAATATGGCAGGCATCATCAACACAGGATATCATTCTTACAGCCATATTCAAGGTGATGAGTCAAGAAAACTCACCTACTCATCCCTAAATGCTGCATTTATACCCTACATCTGAACTCATTGATTATGTGTAAAGTAATTTGGTTAGTTTGCGTTATATGCCAACCTCGAAGCAAGTGAGTGGAGGCTTAAAGTGATT